ACTATATTTGACATTGATCCTTTTAATATGTTTTAGCAATGTGCGTGTATTTAATATTCTCTTTACGTTATGCAAAATTGTACAAACAGTGGAAATTATAAAATAGCTCTATGCCACTATATAAACAAACCCTACTCTAATACTTATAATAAGACACTGCGGTGCACTGAAAAGCACTGCGTGATGCGAATGTTTACTTTTATGGTTCCAAAATCTATAGCGATGACGGAAGGAAGGAAGGAAGGACTGACACACTACTTGCCCGCTTATATTATAGATATATATATATATATATATATATATATATATATATATATATATATATATATATATATATATATATATATATAGTCCTATATATATATATAGTCCTATATTATTTATGTATGTGTAAAAAACGGGCATAAACTGATTTGAAAATAGACTAATATAAGCACCATCAAAGCTGAAAAGAAGATTTAATTGCTTTCCCTTTGTAAATCAATCTTGTTTTACAAATAGCGAAGATTTCAGTGATATGATGCATCGATCTCTTTAAAAAAACAGTATATGCCGTAAACGATTAATCAAAACAGAGTTGTTTATGTTAAATTTAAAATTAACCTAACGTTATTTTTTCATTCAACCTCTTATGTTTGTTTTTGGTTCATCAAGTGTTTTTTTTTTGTTTTGTTTTTTATTTGGTGCTCTGTAACGCTGCAAATAAAGGGAAACTATCCAACTTTATTCAAGTCAAAGACATTACTGAGTTATCGTTTATGTGTTAACTTTATCCTGTATATAATGCATTGTTTTAAAAGTATAAACTAGTAATTTATACAAGATTATATAAAGATATGTAAGAAATTTTGGCAAGCAAATATTTATAGGGCAGAATTGTTGTTAAGTGACACAGCTATGTTTAGTTTGTAAACGATTTTATAAATAAGTTATCCATTTTTAAATTAATATTGATAACACAACTTTTATGAATTATTGGGACAAGTAAGTCATAAAAAAACATAATATAAATAACACTTGTAGCTACATGAAGTGCTATCTCGGAAATCTCGAGTTTAGAGCCGTTCTCAAATTATTCTGACGTTCTTGAGTACACGATGCTATTTAATGCTATTCTGACTGGCAGACACTAGAAAGGGAAAGTTAAAGTGGGGAATTAGGTTTATAAGTTACTAGTCATACTGCCTAGCTTCGCTTAGATTTTGAAAAACATTTGAGAATTTAAATACTTAATTATTTAGTGAAAGTGGCAGTCGTGAGTGCTTAAATTTAAACAGTAATGATGATTTTAGAGAAAATGTTTGTTTTTTTTCTGCCTCAGACATGTAATTTACAGCGTCAGTTGTGTGTTCGCTTTAGTATTACAGTTTTCATCATCGGCGCGTGAGGACTGATACAGATTTACAATAGTAATATTTCTTTCTTACTTGTAGCCTACTTTCATTTATTTAAGATGGTTTACTTATACATAGATATAATACAAAACGTCTAAATATATAAAAAAAATTAAAAAATTAAAAAAAACCAACCTGAAAATACAAATGTGTAATTAAACGATGATTCAAGGTTTTTTTTTCCTCGGCGTGGTGGGCTGAGGGGGGGGGGGGGGTGTAATTTGGGTTTTTAAGTAGAGCTGAAATAAATTTGGGATTATAGAGAATTAAGATGATACAAATTTTAAGCAATCGGAAAAGTTATGTTATTACAATGAGACACATCAAAGCAAACATTCTTCCCTTTCAAACATCTATATCTATACAGTCCTCAAACATTTTTTTTTCTTTCTTTTTTTTGTATTAATTTTGCTTTATATATGTAGATCACATTATCTCTTTATTTACAGAGGTCATACCGGCACAGAATAACTTAACTCGATATACCCTATTATCTGTACATCTGAATTGAAGAAATTGCTTTATATCTGGTATGTTCTCTCGATAGTTGAGGCATACCAAACATTATTTGGCTATGATATTAGTGTTAACATCAAGTGTTAGACTCTAGAAGCTGACGAATCGCAGACACACAGAACAAGAACTTCGAGTAACCTGCATCGTATCATTCTTTTCAAAAGTAAATTTCCCTTTCCAATCTGGCGGTGCATGGAGCAAATGTAAAGTAGGCTTACAATGTTCGCAGACGTCTTTACTTCCCCTAATGTAGAACGTGACCGTCAGATCTCGGTAAACACATTAAAGTTTTAATGACTCAAGCCTGGGATCCGAACTCTAGACCTTCTGGTGAAAATTACTTTGTTTTATAAGCGACTAATAGGATGGCGTGGCCTAACGTAGGTTCAAATCAGTGGAAGGTCCCTACGTCTATCTAGCTGTTAAGGGTGAACTTTGTCTGTTCCGTGTGCCTTGGGCACGTTCGGGAAATAGTAATAATAAAGTAAGTATTTAGGGGTCGTCCATAAATGACTTAGGGGGAGGGGGTCCTTAATTTTGTGACGGTGTATGATAAGAGGGGGTGGGGTCAGGTGATGCGACGTCACACTTTTGCATTATAAAAAAAAGCAATGTTAGTAAACTGTTAGAAAACTGTTTTAATAAATTGTAATAGGAATTGATTAAAATACTATATTTTGACATGGTTCAGACACGATTTTGGAAAAATATCGATGTTTTAAAAAAAAATTCCATTGCAATTTTGAGGGGGGTTGTAGGCTGAGGTGTGACATCATTTTAGAGGGGAGGTCTGGCTTTTTGTGACGATGTGTGACGGAGGGGAGGTGGGGGGAGGAAAAAATCATCAAAGAAGCGTGACGTCATTTATGAATGACCCCTTATTATGAAAGCAAGTTTGTTCAATTAGTTTTATTTTTATTTTTAGTGGGTTTAAAAGCTTATTAAAGCACAGGTTCTTTTTGTTTCAGTGTGTTTTATTTACCCTATCCAACAAAATGGAGTGAAGACTTAACTTTGAACTACAGATGGTTTTTTAATTAGCTAGATGATATTGCGGTGTGCACTTATTGTTTCTGTTAAAGACATATTTTATGGAGATTAGTATTCTCTTGCGAGTTGTTAATAGAAATACGTTTTGAGTTTATGTATACAGTATATAAATTCGTTCAACGTATATATATATATATATATATATATATATATATATATATATATATATATATATATATATATATAACATAAATAAATCATGTAATCGGTTGCCTGTGGAGCACTTAACACTGAATTAACTTGTATATTTTTTATGTCAGTAAAACGAGCTGGCGTTAATTGGGTCAAGTAGAAAAGGTCATTACTAGGTCAATTGTGTATATATGATTTAATATTCCGCGTTATAAAACCTACCGAATACATTAGCATGCAACGTCATGTGTTCATACATATTTTAAACAGGAGTGTAAGTAGGTGAGGATACGACACAAGGTTTATGTTTACTGATTTAGTGCTGGTAAACTATATAATATATAATGTATAAAATAAACACATTATGTTGAATGGCTGTATGGTGGTAGATACGGGACAGCACATCAAAACTTAGATGTGCAAACTGCATGTTTTGATTGGCAGTGGGGGTAAATGGGGTAGAGGGGAGATACATAGTGTTTTGCCAGCAAACATTGAGCTTTATTGGAAGAAGGAACAAGGAGCAGTGTTTCTTTGAGGCTTTTTTTTCCGGGTGGGTAGTGGCATTTGCAATTATCGGGGAGGGGGAGTGTTGGTGAAAGACGGACTACATTTGCCGGGGGGAGGGGGAGTCGAACACTGGTAAAAGTATATATTTTTTTAATATAAATTATATTTCGTTCCGGGGGAGAGGATGGGTTGGGGCTGTAGACGTTGAAGAAATGTCTGAAAGAAACTCTGCGCCGTAGCAGCACATACGGTGTCGTAGCCAAAACAAGGTAGCATTGTTACTAATTTATATTCAGCCTACGTTTAAAAAAAAAATAAAACAGCCTGTACTTGGCTTTACAAACATATTTAACATCTTACTGCATCAATTGGACATGAGGACGACACGTGACGACCTATATATACAGTCTTCCAGACTTTTTTCTCCGAGAGGGGGGAGGCACTAAAATTTCCGAGGGTCGGACACTTGTAAAAGTAAATATTGTCTCTATAAGTTATATTTTGTTTAGGGAGGGGGCGGTAGACATTTTTTAGGTGGGGGAGAATTTCCCCCCCCCCCCTCGAAGAGATGCCTGGGAAAAACTCTACATATATAATATATGGATATATTTCAAGCACGTAACATGAAAGGTTTCTTTTAGTTATCTCTGAATGTGGGAAACTGCAACCCCCGCACCCCTCCCCCCTACCTCGCACTTAGCACTTACATCTCCCCCACTCTAACTCTCTCGCCCCGAAAAGAAAAATGAAATTTATCAATAAAATATATACTTTAACCACCGTCATACATCCACCCGGAAATTTAAGTGCGTCCTCACTCCACCAAAGTGTCAACGCCCACCCTTCCTACCCGGAGACAAAAATTCTGAAAAAAACACTGGTCACGTGTCAAATAAAAAACCTGGCTATTTAAGTCGCAGCAGATGTTAATTAGTCTGGCACGTGAGTCTATAGTCCGAACGAACATGCTTAGCATGTCACGTGGTACAGCCGCCCCACCGTCCATTCGTCAGGCTATGTTATCACGGTGTCCAACTATAAAACATCACCGACAAGACTGCCTTTTCAACCTACATCTTTAACATGCCGTAGCGTCACCCGAACTAATTCTACACCATCAAGGATATCTGCCCTGTATAAAATACCTCACCTCACGAACCGACTTAATTATCTTACATATTCTTGATGGTCAAAGTATGTCGTTTACTGTAGAGCTATGCGATACTAAAGCCAATATCTTTCGACTATAATATTTATAAATTATTATTCCTTTAATAACATATATTTTATATTTGTTAACTAACATTAGTTTAGGGATTACACGTGGATAAAGTGATATAGTTGCTTATTTATTTTAATCGTTAGTTGATAATTTAACATCGAAGAAAACAACATCTGGAAGCCTTATTGGAATGCAACTTGTGGTGGTGCCTTTAGTGCTGGCTCTTGGAGTGGTGGAGATGGTGCAGGCGCAGTCAGGACCACAGCTGACCTTTCACTTTGTCGGACCCAGCACTGACCCCGACTCGGAGACCCTGGATGTTCACATCGAAGAGGAGCTGGATCACTTGTGAGTGTTGGTTTTAGTCACGTGACAACTTGTGCGTGCTGATTCAGTCACGTGATAATGTGTGCGTGTTGATTTAGTCACGTGATGACTTGTGTGTGTGTGAGGTGACCTAGTCACGTGACTATCATTAAGTGTTGATTCAGTCACGTGATCACGTGTGTGTGTGTGCTAATCTAGTCACGTGACCATCTGTGCGTGTTGGCTTAGTCCCGTGACCACCCGTAAATAGTCACGTGATCATGCGTGAGTGTTTTTTAGTCACGTGATCATGTGTGTTGATCTCGTCACGTGGCAACATGTGAGTGTTTATATATGATAGTTACGTTACGGATAAGTAGCAACGGACAACTTATAGGTATCCTACCTTCAATGTTTCAAATGTCAACAATGCTTCATTTTCACCTAATATAATATTATGTCGTCTATAATTAAGTTATGTGGCTAGTAATAGCAACAAAACGTTCTAATATAAACCAAAGCTTAGCCTTAAAACAACTGTGTTATTGTCGTAACCCTCTTTTTTTTCGAACTTGTTTTACAATGACTTTTATATAATTAGTAGTGTATTAATCTTAATCCAACTATGTGGCAATCAGTGGCGTAGCGAGGTCGGGTGTCACCCGGTGCGGCACTTAATGGTGCCCCACCCCCCAGAGGCGTAGCGACCCTTCCCGGGGACAAACTTTCAATTTTCGATTTGCACCCTCCCCCCCCCCCCCCCCTCAAACTTTCGATTTGCACCCCCCCCTTCCTCAAATTTTTCTCTAAATATTTTGCTATTTTTTGCTTTGGTGTCACCCCCTAAATGGTGTCACCCGGTGCGGTCCGCCCCCCCCCCCCGCCCCCCCCCCCCTCGCTACGCCTCTGGTGGCAATACATAACTGCACTAAAATACGTGAAATTTTTAACATGTACATCTCCAGACTAAATGGCCTGATCTGTCGATGGTCAGGCAACCGTTTCACAGTCCGCATCAGTCCAGAAACAGCATCAACCGACCTGATCGACGATAGTTTCGCTTACACCAACACCACCGAGGGTTCTGTTGACTGCATGCTGTCCCACCCTACCTCCCCCGTCACCTGTGTCGACCCCGCCTTCTGTAGCCTAGGCAACAACTGCCGCGCTAAAATCAGGGCCATGTGCCCCTTGTACAAGTCAAGCTCCAGGTGGATAATGACGCAGGCGGTTGACGTCACGTTGGAGCAGGTGGACGGTGAGGTGGTTGTGACGAGATGTTTCACCATGTGCGGACCTCTGGTCGGGGCGGTGTCGGTACCAGACAAGGGCCCCGCCATATCCTATCTCACTGTGTGTTTGATTGTTGCAGGGGTGATCATCGCCGCTGTCATTCTCGTCGCTTCTCTCGTTTTCTGGAAAATTAAAGACCACAGCAACTGGATCAAGCTAGAAAAGAAGAGACAGTCCTTTGTTGTTTTCGCTGAATGAACTCTACAACACAACATATCTAAAATAAACTATTGGACTGCTAATCAGAAGATGTGTGTATTAGGTTATATTTTTTTACATTGCTAACCGTCAACGTATTGCTTTAAATTTTTATAAGGTAAAAAAAGATATAAATAATATAATGTTCTTGTTTGCAAAAGTATAATGATTATGTTACTGAGACTGCTGTAGCATTTAAAAACACCAGCAATGTTATGTGTCATCGTCTTAAATCCTGAGAGAGTGTTACCTGAAGAAGCACATTGACAATAAAACACTCACGACGTGTGCTTTACCTGAAGCTATTATAATTTCTGCATTTTTTAACGAAATAGTGTATCTCTCCTTACAGCTTTATACTATATTTCTCGAACGATGGGGCACCAAGTAAAAGCGTATTTCTCTGAATGTGCTTTTATTCTGACAGTTGACTACAGTATTGTTTAGCATGCATTTCTATTAAAAACAGGTTCATATTTATATTATTGCACTATTGTATATATGTCACATAGTTTAAAATGTAATAAACACTTTTTATTAGCAAATCTTTGAATACATTCATTTCTAGCATATACGATATTAATCAAATATATAAAGTTTAATTATGTATGTATGTGGAGGGCGGATAGTGGAAGGACAACGGATTACGAAGAAATAGAGATAAAAAATAGACTTCCTCGCAATAGAGTTATATATCTATAGTGCTCATCGTCTAACTCTAAACGAATGATATAAAAATTAATATTGAAGGTGTTATAAAACACTCATAGTGTTCATTGACGTCATGTTCATTAAACAAAATTGAAGGACTTTTAGTCCTTTAGCACTTATTACATCTTTTGATAAAAGTAGGAAAACACAATTACACTATCGGGGTAAAAATTCACTTTTTAATACATTGTTTTTCTGTGGGAAAAAATAATAACATAATTAGCGAGGATTGATCAAGCAAAATGTTGTATGTAAAACACAGATATTTTAAATACTGTCTTTTATTTATTTTATACACTGAACGTACTGTTACTAATTATTTTGTTAATCAATAACAGTTTAGGACCCAGCTTCTAAATATCCTCTATGTTTACTTCTATCCTTCTGTTTACGGATAAGCTAGGGATATTATAGTCGTTCATTAAATTGAATCAGACGCGTCCGTCGGCGCCCAGACGGGGTTCAAATTTGGCGCCCTGGGCTATCCTGTGAGCGCTATGGTGCAGAATTTTGTTTAAGCAGTGCGATAGACTATGGATAAGATAGTTTACTATAGTCGTTAACTGAAACAAATCCGGGCGTCCTCTGTCGCCCCAAAATGGTGTTATTTGGCGCCCCGGGCCTTTCCTTGCTATCTATGACGCCTACGTTCGTTTATGTGAGTGCAAAAGACAATGAATTAGTTGGGGTACTATTGTCGTTTACTAATTTGAATCAGGCTGTTTTGCCGGCGCACCAGCATAGTGCGATTGTGCGCCCCGGGCTAGACTATGATCACTTTGCGTTTATGTTTCCTTTTGTGTTTTATTTGTGTTTTGGTTTGTGTGTGCGTTTGCGGTTGTTTTGTGTTTGCATTTGCATTTGGGTTTGTTATCGTTTGTTTTGTTGTTTGATTTCTTTTTTTAAGTTCGTGTTTATGTCTTCTTTTCGTTTGTGTTTCTATTAATGTTTGTCTTATGTTTGCGTTTTTTGTGCTTTGATTTTGCTTGGTTGTGGTTAGGGTTGATTTGAAAAGTAATATATTTCCTAAACTCGGGAAATGCCAGATATATGCTGATTACTAAACAAACAATTCATGGTCCTTTACAGATAGGTTTTTCACAGAGGCCAGTGCAGTGCCTCGCCGGGACGCCTAGTAATTGTATAAAAGTTATAGAAAATCAATTGCCTTTTTACAAACATGCACATTGGTATTTTATTTGTTGAAACAAATTAAAGCGCACCGTTCAGCACCATAGCGTAAATATCAATAAAAGGAAGCTGTTTCCCTAACGCATTGATTTCGTCGCTGTCTTGATTAGGCCTTTCTTTGCCAACTAGATCTATATCTACATCTAGATCTAGATTGAGATCGAGATTCATATTTCATTAAGTGCAAAAACATTTTAAGTTTTTAAGATGGCAAAGTTAAAGAGGACAACGATTACAAACATGACCAGTGTGTCTGAGGTAGAAACAAGACAGGCATGTAAGATAGACTCCTTAATATATAATGTTGATAACAAATCAGAAGACACGTATCAAGCGGTTCAGTTACCAAATGAGATTATACAAAAAGTATTCTCTTACCTCAACAAAGTCGAATTGTTAAGGATGGCGACTGTGTGCAAGTCTTGGAGGGATTTGATCCAAACTACGCCTAGTTTATGGCGAAATATTCACCTGGAGTTATCCTGCTGTAGAAAAGCATCACAGAACAAAATAACTTTTTTGTGCGCGCAGCAATTCGGAAATCATTTCCGGAAATTATCTGTCTCGTGCTCTCACGATCATAAAACTGTCATTTGCAAATTCATGGCCATCGATTTCCGGAAACTTTTACTCAGCCTGCATCAAACGAGTCTAACGTCGATAAAAATAACTGACCTGCAGCTTCAAGGCGCGTTGATGAGTACTGTAAAGATCATTGCACAGTCTCTAACTCGTATTTTATCCAGGTCTGACAGACTACAGTGCTTTAAAATGTCGTCAGCGCTGTTTAGAGTTGAAGAAGGCATCAATGTTCTAGACACTGTCTTTTCCGAGACCCGCGGAACTTTGGAGACTCTTTACATCGACAGTTTTTTTCGAGAGCCCTTGCTGGGCTACCTTATTAATGAACAAGACAAACTGACCAATAACATCCTTTCTCTTACCCGCTTGACAAAACTGGGAATGGACTACCGACATCTGACTGATGGTTTTTTGACGGCTCTGTCTAGATCTCATGCCGGGCAGTTGAAGAGACTAAAAATTGCGGCACAATATTTGATGGATGACGGAACAAGATTTGATAATTATCAAGTTAAGCTGGCGACAAACTCTTGGTTGACTTTGGTAAGAAAACGTTAGACACACCTTTGTAATTTAATAGTATCTTTTCCTTGAATGTGTCGTTGAGCCTGACAATTAAAAACTGAGGTTTGACCGCTCTAATAATAAAAACATAACCCTGACTATGTCCTTTATCATTTATCCTAATTCATAGCTGGTCTAAGTAATGAAATAAAAACCAACCAAGCTAGGTACATCACTGCAATATTATGTAATTGTTAGGAGAGTATGTGTTATGTAGATGACCATAGAGTACTGCACGCTGCAAACGAAAAAATCATTTTTTTTTTTACAATCTGACAATACTAGACAGGATCTTGTCCAGAGCTGAAAGTGGCGTTTGTGATAGACGGATATACCTTAGCACGTATTGATTCCGTGATGAAGATACTGGATCAGGTTATGCCCATCTACAAGATAAAGCTGATGCATGAGTTTGGATATCATGTGCTCAGCGAAATCACGGCTAACTTCAGGTGGGCGTGAGATATGATACGTTTTATTAATCTAAGTGTATATGTGTTTATATATGTGTGTGTATATGAGTGTGTTGGTCTATGTAAGGATGTTTATGGGCGTATATTTTTCTGTGTGAGTACCTACATGTATATGTACCTGTATAAGTGTGTGTCTGTATTTATATCTTCGACTCTGTCTATCGGAATGTGACTGCGCGGTCAAAAGTTGGAGAGTTTAATTCAAGCCCGAAGATCTAGGTTTTGAATCCCGGTTCGGACGTAGAACAGCAGTACTTCCATGAGTCCACCCAGCTGTTATAGTACCTGACTTAACTTTTAGAAAGTTAAGCCTGGTCATACCATCCCTGCAAATGATCAGGTCTATAAAGGAATCTTTATTATGCCAATCTCTGTCAGTGGGATTCTTTGTTTGCCTGTGTGTCTGCGTTCATATGAATATGGCTTTTTTGGTTATATGTGTGTATAATTGTGTGAATGTGTATGTATGTGTGTGAGTATGTGAGTGTTTATGACTGTAACTGTTTTGGGATGCAGCTTAGAGTAGGAGCTTAACCAAGACATGGTTGAACTGTTGACTTATGTTAGCCGAGCTTTAGGAAACCACTCAACTATACTAAAACTTGTCTACAGAAATAGTTTGGTCAAGCTTGAAATGGAACATTGGCATACAACTGGCCAAATTGATGCAGCTTTTCTAGATCTTGTCCGAAAATGTCAACTTCTGACGTATATAAATGTAAGTTAAATGTAAGATCACTGTAGTCCCTAGTTCGAACCCTCGAGCATATGATGCTCGTAAGATGGGGGCAGCAACCCATCTAGAAAACAACAAAATCAAACAGGATTGCAGCTGCCTTGAGCGATAGGATTACCAACTCTGGTTTCATTACGGCAGCTCCTGCGACTCTGCTGATTCCAAGCTGTACAGGTAACGTCCTGTCCCTTGGATCTATCAGTTGTGCGGAGAGAGGTTGGTCTGATTCATGGGCAACATATGGCTCTTCTCAACTTACTGTACATGCTTTGTGCTTGGATTTCCAAAGGGCAATCATCCAATAGTCTGTTAGACTATTGGACCATATTATTACTATATAGGAAAAGGAAAAGCATTGAGACTAAGCTTTACGTAACATTGCTAGGCTCGAAACTGCATCCAAGGTAGAGACTCTACGTGTAAAAAATGTTGCAATGATTTTTACTCAACGATTGGTCAGATGCATTTATAACTGCATGGGTTTAACGCCAGCAAAGATATACCCATCATCTTGTTGTCTTAAAATCAGTGCTTGAGATAGTGAGAGAGAGAGAGTTGAGAGATAAAGAGAGAGGGAGGGATAAAGATAGATATAACTAAGAATAGGGAGAGTGTTAAAAATGCTTATTTGGGTTTACATTCTTTAGCGGCACTAAATGTCAGATGATAAGGAAGAATATATCTATATATATAAGTAGTATAGTAGGTCCCTTTTGAGTCGTTTTTGTGCAGACATGTTTATATAGTAAAATATTGAGCAGCCAGAGCAGACATGTTATATAGTAAAATACTCCAGCTGGAGCAGGTGTTCCCCTCCTCCTATTGTCTTCCGTGACGCTCCATTACGGCCGCGACGACAAACAATAGAGTATCGATTTTTTTTTATTTTTTTTTTTGAAAGATATGTTTAAATAGTCATTAAAAATAATTTATTCAGCTAGGCTTGCTTTACAATAGGCCATATTTCTCATACAGTTGATCTATAAATAGCCGTTACTATTTACTATCAGTCTGTTTTTGTCCTCTGTTTTTCGTCTAGTCGTGTTAATTATGTTAAGTGTGATTGCTTTATTTGTTGTGGGTGTTTGATTGGTGGTTTTTTAATATTTAGTATATTAGAAGTATTATATTTAAGTGCTAGGTTGTTGGTTTATTGTACGTTTATGTACATAGTTGAGGCTATGGTGTAATCACGACTTTTTAAGTTTTCCTAGTGACGATTTCTTTCTAAAATAGTGACCAGGGCTAGACATCAAAGAGTATATTAATCAATTATC